TGCTCTGGGAATTTGTGATCAGGACTGTTATCTATATAATGGACTACAATCCTTACCTACGACTGCAGCTAATGTTAATTATTTCCTTGATCAATCTATGAATTATTTTGTCTGTAAAATGTCAGAAATTTGTGAAAAACGTCCATCCAAATTTCCCAGAGCCCAAGATGAGATTTCTAATTTTGTCTCGCAGTTCAAAGCCCAAAGATTTTCAATTTATAATGATATAAAACAAAAAAAGACCTAAAGAGGAATCTGATATCAGCAAATCTTTGATTGAAAACTGACTCAAACGATATAGATTATCAAAATAGTTTAGACAAATTTTCTGACCATCTAATCAAATAATCTACTGATCATTTCAGCTCTACAATTAACCAAAAAAAATGTGAGTATTACTGTATATGTTATGCACAGCTACTTTGCATAGCACAGTAATTAACTTGACGGTATTGTGTTACCCCACGAGTCTGTGTGTACTTTGAGGAGTAGGGCATTGTTTTTCATTCCAAGGTCTCATCTAGCTCAAAGCTAGGAAAAGAAAGCTGCTGTCAATACATGATTATTTTTAGATTGCCTAGCAACTGGCTGCTCCTCATGACAAGAATTATCCAGGAGGGTGTATGTGCTCTCTGTACTGACCAAATGTTACTACAACTGTGTGTTTCAGAGGAAGGCCTGCGTCTGTTTGTTGGCCCTGGGGGAAGTACAGCCCTGGGAAGCCATCATCTTCCCACCAGGTGAGATAGTCACTGAACAATGATTTGCTCTTCGTAGTAGATGGAGAGGTCGGGGGTGGTTATTATTGGCTATTCCGAATTTTCTCTGGATAAGAGTACACAATATACTGTTTATTTTAATGTTTTATGCTTTTATTGCAGCAATGCCTCTAGGGATGGCAATATCAGTCCGACCACTTTGGTTCAGAGTTAGGGTTAAACAACTACTGGATGATAGTTTGTCCAAAATTTCTCATGTCTCAACAACGATTGGATAGATTGCCCCTGACAATCTTGGTGCACACACACACGTACCACACTGGCACCATCATCAGAGCAGATGTGCCCAGTACTTTTGTTTTATGACTAAATGCCTGCAAAACTAATGACATTGCCATCAACCTCAGCTACACTTGTGCCGATTAGCAAATGTTAGAATGTTAAAATGCTAGGCTAAGAATGTTAAGTTGGTTAAACATTATACTTGAAAAACATCAGGATGTTATCAATTATATAGATACAATGTAGATGTAAGTCCGGGTCAAGCCACCAAATATCTGCAATGGTGAGAGTAGTTAAATGCAGCTTATAGACCAACTAAACCATCAAACCACCTTTCTTCATATATGTGCTATAAATATGCATAGCAACCTCTACTGGTTGAAACCCAACTATTGTAATTTGATTTTGCTATTTGTTAATCTGTAGTTTGGAGTTTTGATAACTTGTGTATTTAAATGGAGAACTGGTTTTGTGGGGACATATTTTAACGTAAAAGAAGGGAATGATATGCATTCAACTCTACTGTATGATACATGAGGCAGTTATTCCATTGGGTTACTAAATTTTTTTTTCTTGTCATCCCAGGGTTGGTGCTGGAGCGTACGAGCAGGTGGTGATAAAACGTTAGACCTGAAGCCTATCAGAGGTGGACTGACACTGCTTACATAAAAAAAAAAAAAAAATGGATGCAAGCCTGTGTCCATTTCAATCTGCATTCCTACAGCACACACATTACCTGATCAGCACAGTGTCTGACCTGATCACTCGGTGAACAGTTGACGTTACAACAGTGCCCTCCTGTGTTCATATCTCCTACATGCAGCTCCCTGATAAGATTTTAAAGAGCGAGAGGTACACAGCCATCAACTCGGTGTAAAAATACAAATGTGAATTAAGAGAAATGACGCATTGACCAGATTGTTCCAAACAAACTGAACCTGTCAACTCTTCATTTTCTGGGTGTATGCGCATCTTTTTGAGGTCAATGCTGTGACTCCGCACCCAAACACACTCGATTTAAACCGTTAGAAAACTGGAGGAAAACATCATCTCTAATGTAGGACAAAAAGGACGAGCGCCGTGTGCGCATCATCAGAACGAACTGAACTCTACACTGAAGAGGAGTATGCCATGTGATTTCAATACATTCCCTTCGTCTCTCTGTGTTTGTTTTGGACTTCCTTCTCAAATAGGACGTTCCAATTAGTATTTGCCTATAAGCTGCTAAAAAGCTGTAGTTGTTGGCACTCTGTGACGGCCGTGGGTGTTTTTGAAGGAGAATATTTTACTACATAGACGAGGCATCAGACTTGAGCTATTTGACGTGTGAACGTGGACGGTGCGTGAATGTATGTGTATGTGGTTGAGGCCACTTTTATTAATTAGTAACAGTTATCCTGTTATCTTCGAGTGGAGGGATGTGACATGATCTTCTTTAAGGAATACTATATTTGTATTTGCGAAATGGGAGAACATGACAACTTGCTTACTTGATATCGTAGGAGTTCCTTGTTCTTATTTGTTTTGCTGCTGAGGATTGTTTTAGAAAATCCTGCAGTACTAATCTGCTCTCTCTAAAAAAAAATCTAACTTTTTGACATTTGCTTAACTATATGAAATGTACAATTTCTTTTAAAATCTGCAGTTACCAGAAATGGGAACTTATTCAAACCCCAGTAACTGCATTCTGGCTTCATATTGTTCCCAACGTTGCAGTAAATACACTTTGTTTTGGGCTCTACAAGCTTTTATGACATTTACTGCACTCTGTCACTGAAAGGCAGCAAAAGTGTTATATCAAGTGAAAGGTAGATGGTGAGATGCCTTAGCTAAACTTAACTAAAATTTACTTACAGATTTTTCCTATGCTATTAAAAATATCCATTTTTATGAACGGATATCTTGGTTAATTCAGTTTTTTATTCCATATAACTAAAAGCAGTAGTTCAATCCAATCGTAAGAGACAATAACCTAGCTAACCCTATCTACCTAAGGGTAACTATCTTAGCAGATTTCAGCAAAATCCATCTATGCTTTTAACTCAAATTCATGTGCTTTGGTGTGATTAAGCTCAAATCACATATTTCAAAAGGTATTAGATTGTACATTAAAGTATGTATATTATTTTTTATTAATTTCAATATAAATGTATTAATAGATATAAAGACACCCAGAAAAACAGATACATTTAACTCCTATAATCTAGACTATAAATAATCAAAATAAAGTTTATTTTCTTAAACTAGTTTAAAAAGGACAAGAAAGCTGAAGGAGCACTTACAAACTGTGTATACCCCTTAAATTCCCTAAAGATTATCCAAAGGTAGAATGCAGTTTTTTGTTTATTTCTTTTTTAGGTATTACGTAAATCAGCCTAAAAAGTAAAAATGAAGATATTACTTCTGTCATGCAGTTTTCTAGCCTTTTTCGGCCCCCAAACGTACTGCTTCTGTAAGGTCCTGCTCTCTGCCTTTTGTAGAGCAGTAAATACCGACTATAATAGGGGCTTCTATGATGAATATCACTATAGAAGGGCATCTATCTAATGCCCAGCATTTCAGCTACGTATCTATTGTATAACTACGCTTTGCAACTCAACTACATCTCTCTGAGCTGTCCTGTTGACCAGGAAGCTTGCATCAGTGAACAAATGGAAGATCCTGTGACGTTACAACGATTTCATTTATGTGCAACTGATGCATACTGTAGTTTGTTTCACTTTAGGATTGTACAGTAAAGGACTAGTTAAGTAATCCACTGCCATGAAGAAAATATTCAACAGCACCTGTCTTTTAAAAAGACCCAGGCTAATAGTTCTGTGTGTGTATGTATATCTCCTAACATCAAATCAAACTATTGGAACTGAGAACAGTCTAATAACCAGTCTAATAACCAATGCATTCAATACTTGATTAGTGCTACAAATAGAAATCTAACAATATAAATCTGCTGAGAGTTTTGAAATCCTGATAGTGGCACGCATGTTGACTATTTGCATTTCCAGCCCAATAGGAGATTAAGTGCATAATTTCTTCAGTTTATTAGCAAATTAGCCAAAGTACACAACACACTGTTATTACCTGGGAACGGTCAGGCCTATGCATACTGAGGATATTATTACATTATAACTAGTGAAAACAGACTGTACAGTATCTGTAATCTTCTGTCTCCTGTCATAAGCCATAGTAGAGGTAGGATACCTCCTCTTCTAGATAAACTATATTCATGTTCTATCAATATCTGCACAAGCGTCATCAGTGTATGGTGTTTTAACTATACGTCAGTGTTCTCTGTTTTTATGTTCGTATGTTCTGCATGAGATGTCCTTTTGTTAGCTTGCAGAACTGACACATCTTCATGTTAACCTAATTTAATATTGTGCCATCTGTTATTCTGGATAATTCCACATCGAAGGAACATTTTCGCTCGTCTATTTAGCATGTAGGAAGTCATTCTGTTCTCATAACTTCATGTTAAAGACAGATATCTGCACAGTGTATGATGTAACTGTAAGTCAGTGTTCTCATTTTGTTTCTTTTTATTTTCGGCATGGTTTAAATGTCCTACATTAAGTCACATCTAGAGGATATCATCGTCTTTGTTTTTGAATCTTATATTGCTGATATTGTGCCATATTTTTGCTAAATATTTTATTGTTAAGGACAAAAAAGTGTTCTCACTACATAGTTAAGAAAGTGTTAAGTGTTTGATTTATGGCTACCAAATATCAACTATTGGAGGTTTTTTGTGTGTTTTTTGGATAAAAATCACTTGTTTTACCTGTGTGATACAGGTATGTTCATCTTGGTACCTAACATGTTGTTACAAACATGGTTTCTTCTCTTCTGTGAAGCTGTTGTCTATATAAAAACTGTAAAATGTATTTTCCTGTTAAGTGATGTTCTGCGCTGCGCTGTTCTGACACTGTCCAGTGTTTCCTGTTACAGACTTGTTCTTTCGACCAACATTTGCTTCCTTAACAAGTGTACTGGATGCTTCAAATGTGTACCTTGCACTGTTGAATAAAACAGTTAAAAACTTTGAGCATTGTGAGGATTGTGCTTCAACCTGGGTGTAATGTACAACAATCACAAAGAAGCCAACTGATGTTTTTATTTGAACTGATCTGCATTTGTTTCACACTCAAAACACAAAGTTTAGTACAACTCATACTGTTCAGTAGTCACCAAGGGAAACCATTTGCTAACTCATTTCCCTTTAAACAAGTAACCTACTTGTCCCAATATGTATGTTCTAGATCAAATATTTGCCTCCCAGTCCTCCTCTTGCACAGCATTGTGGGAGCACCGGCTGGCCTCTGCATATCCGCTGTCCTCCAAACCATTATGATCCTCTTCTTCAAGGTCTAGAAAGACAAATTAAGTGTCACAACCACAGAAAACCATTCAGTCATCAAATTCATCAGATAAGCAGAAGAGCAGGAAATAAACATTGCACAGTCAGCCACTGAGCCGCTCCACTGAGCTGTGGAGAGAGCCGATTGGGGAAATGAAGCTTTCGCCACTTAATGTGATGAAGCCATTGAGCTGAGAATGGTTCACAGTTATGAAGCATTTGTGACATCTGCTGGGCAACCCTTGGTATTGCACATTATTAGTATTGGAAGGATTACATTTCAAGAATATGATGAAACTGAGTCAGAATGTAAGTGGTGTTTCTGCTGTCGCTGCTATTTGGCTCAGTACATGTTATATTGTAAAAAAGGACCAGGGTCTTCTCACTGATGGTCTTGTTTGTTTATGTAGGTCACACAAAGGCATCAGTATTAAATAGATAGTGTTTCACTTAAAAACTTGTAGGTTTAAAATATTTGCATATATGTTCTATGTATGTGTCGCATTAGGTGGCCACGACTTACATTTCAAAGTGCAACCTGTGTTGTAAAGTGACAGATGAATGACCTTGACTCCTTGAAGCGGAACTTCACCAGTGGAAAAGAAATGCATCTCCCCCACTAGAAGTGAACTTTCTTATTGATTTTCACAGTTTTATACATATAACAGACGCAGAAGTGTACATTAGTACCTTCCTCCTGTACAAGCACAGCAGAGCGGTCCTGGCTCAGTTTAATTTCAGGGTCCTCCATCAGGATATGTCTGAGATTACTCAGACTTCCACTCAGGGCACTGACTTTGGGGCAGCAGGACCACAGTGCAGCCAGAGGTACACACACACACCTACCAGCACACACAAAAGGTGACATCAGGGATTTTTGTTCTTGTTGTCAATTTCAAAACAAGCCATGTAAGCCTGTAAGGTTGTAAGCTCTGCATTCATGGCAATAAACATTTGATCGCAAAAAATATATAGATATGAGAGCCTTGTGATAGCTGTGATGCCAAATTTTTAGAAACATTTTTCAAATAAAAGACCAATAATAACATTCAAGGGAGTGTTTTTTTTTTTTACTGCCTGCTACATAAAAATAAAAATGTGCGCAAATAGATTTTAAAAATATATAAAATAATATAGGAGATTGGAAAAAACAGCTAACCTTATAACCTTTTAATTTGTTTGACTTGTTATTTTTACTGTGGTATACTGATACCTTGTAACTTGATAACATGGTAGAGCACAGCCGGTATCAAAAGTACAGATGCTATAAAAGACAAGGTCTGTGTTCGTCCTACAAACTGCCTTCTGACTCACCGTGACCATACGGTTCCTCCTCAACTTCCTCAAAGAAACACACCTGTGCAGTTTTTTAGACTCCTGTTGTCCTTTGCCGTTTGTCCAAAACACCTCTTCATCCTCTCCTTCCTGATCCTCTGACACACCTCTGCCACACTGCTCCACCGGATGTTTCACCTCTGCTCCACATGCAGCTGTGAGGTACCATATATATATATATATTTTTAAAAGAGAGACAAGCTTTCAGTGTGCCGTTTGCCACTTTAAAAAGTTCAAAATATTCCTAGTGGCTTTTAGCTCCTTTCCTTCAAATAAAGGTTTCCTTGTGATCAAACCCAAACTATCTGCACAACTTCTTAGGAATCTTAACTGCTGGGATGTTCACCTGTCTGTTTCTCTTCCACGTCCACGTGTCGCTCTAACGCTCTGAGACATTCCTCCACTCCTCCCTCAGTCAGGCACAGTGTGTAAGCGTCATCCCTCTCGCCAGTCTTCTCCTCCATCCACCTTCTCTTCAGCTTTTCTGTCCAGTACACCACCTCACTCACCAGGACCCTCCGCAAAATGTTGTTGTCACGCAGGCTGGGGTAGTTTATACTATACAGCTGATATACAAAGACAAAATCAGAGCACACAAGGATTATAATATATCTCGAGAGCCTGTTATGGTCACTAAGCCAAATTATTACTTAGCAGGCGTAGGGACATGTGACTTTAAAAAACCTATTTTTATTGCCTTCATAACTTTTACCTCCAGAACTGAAATCAGTCCGTTGCATCCATACTCCAACTGGCTAGTTAATTCATCTATAATTAACATTTAGTTTTGACTGTGTGTTAATTACAGGTTTCTAATTTTAAAAGGGGGCAGTGCCTCAGACTTACAGTTCAGACTACCAAGACTACAGATGCTGTAGCTGCAGTCACCAGCAGAGGTCGACAAAGTTAATATATTACTTATGTCCACCGCTTACCACCTTCCAATGGAGGAAATCAGGTCTGCTGAGTCAGTGAGCTCCTTTAAAAAGGTCCAGTGTGTAATATTTCAAAGGATCTTATTGGCAGAAATGGAAATATAATATTTCTAGGTATGTGTTTATAATCACGTGAATTTAAGAATAGTGTTTTCTTTAGCTTAGAATGAGCTTTTTATCTACAGAGGGTCCTCTTCCATGCCGCCATGTTTCTAGTTTTCTAGTTTTTCTCGAGTTTCAAGGCCTGTAGTGGGCCCTGATTATCCACACAAGGAAATAAAGGAACCGGGAGGAAGTGGAGGCCAACAAGGTGATTCCCCAATCGGCACATAGAGGACCCCACATCCCTATCAAATGCCATCCTAAATGCTCTATCCTAACAACAATGGGAGTCCTGTGAAAGTGCCCTTTTTGGAGCTTAAAAAACTTACTTTTTGTCAAACAGAGAAGACACTTACACAGATTCTTCAATTTATACAACGCGTTAATTGTACTTTACAACCATATTGGTTAAATATCTGAGGATTGTAATGATGAGAACAAGTCTAATAAGAGTTTAAAATTAACATTTATACAAAATACCTGTAATAAAGAAATTGTTTCTTTTACAACGTTTTATCTCGTATGTTTTTATAGCGTAAGTTGAAATTTTCTTGACTTGTACCGATGAATGATTCAGTTATAAACCCTTTTAATTGTTCAATTTTTTTGTGAAGCACGTTGTCAATGTGAAGTAGTTTTATTTGTCCTTCTTGATTAGATAGCCTGTCATAAATATCGTCCTTTTGGTTGCATCCATCTAAGAGGAAAGCAATTCTGGATCCAAGATAGATTAAATACTACGATACTTTGCAGTCTACTGGATTTTGATTGTTCTCAAATAACAGGAATTGTTTGAGAACAATTGGACATTTTGTTACAGGATGGATGTGTTGAAGTCAACTGCAGAACAATTTTCTAATTAGTTTGGGTTCCCTTGGATATTGTTGTAATACATGTTGTGTATTTATGGCCAATGATAATGTTTTGTGTACTATGGTGATCTATGAGTCAGATGGCTGAATATAAGGAAAACGTACAACAACCTTGGACAACCAAAATTGGAAAGGGAGTTGTGCAACATGTTAATTTTAATAAATTATTCTAACAACCAAAATAAAGTGTCACAGGTTTCTGTCAAATGTGAAAGCTCACACGTTGTTTTAAAACATGATTTTTATACTATTTCTGCCTTTATTTAATAGTAAAACTAGAGAGAGTAACAGGAAATAATGGGAGAGGTAAAGAGGGGAACCCATAAATCTCACACATTACAGGTGTTTTCGAAACACTGGGCCAACATGATGCCCGACTCAGCAGTCTATAAAATAAAAGTCTACTCACCAGTGTGTATGAAAACACATCATCCGCATCATCACCAAACAACATGTTGCAGTGATCTCTCCCCACGCGCCGGTGAAACACACCAATCTGGGAGCAGAAGCCGACACTCTCCTGCTGGCCTGGCGGTGCCTGTCCAACCCCAGTGAACTCCACCTCATAACCATACTCCAAACACACCTTCAGAGCCCTGAGGAGGGATGTACTGTTACCAGAACTCTGTGTAAATTAAGGTATATTCAACGGCGCTGATGTTTTTTATGGACGATTTATCCACTAACATTCCCACATTGTTTGCACTGTCCTTAACACTCAACTTGGTGCTGAAAATGGATCTTTAAAAACCACATACCAGGACTGGAACTCTGCTCTGGTCCACTCAAACTTGTGGTCAGAGTGCCTGAAACCTGTCAGTCCAGTGAAAAGGGGGTTGAACTCGGAGTTTGGGGTGCTGACGATAACCGCCACTGGGATCATGTAACCAAACACCACCTGAGAGAAGCACTCCACATCAGCAAGAGTGAGGTGCTCTATGCTGCAGACAGCCAGAGAGGAAACGTGATGGTAAATAACGGCACAGAGAGACACAGGGGAAACAGAAAGGTGGAAAACCACACAGAAGCATAGAAAGACAAACATTTAGTAAAGGTATGAAAACTCAAGACACTCAATGTTTAAGGCCAAACAGCCCCTTACAGCTCTATGCTGGTCACCAGATCGAATCCTCTGAGGCGGACGTCTTTTTGTGTGACTGAGCCCTGGTACAGCTCAACACGCAGCTGATCATAAGTCGGCTGCAGATAGTCAGTTGATATAGGGCCTAATCCATGCCTGAAGGAACATAGAAGCAGAGTTAACTCATTATCAATCCGCACACTATTAGTTATAGCAACAACAAAACACACAAGGTGATAGAAGAGTCAAAAGATCAAGCGATACTCTGATCATCATTTGATCTTTTGTAACCTTTTTATCTACTGAGCAGGTGAAAAAGCGGTAATTGAAGACAATTAACTTTTAAATGTTTAACCCAAGTAA